AAATAACTAACAGCAGGAATATTAAGTGGAGTGGTGCCATAGATGTGGGCACAATAAATTGGTTGTAGCATTTGGAGTGCAATTTTACATAACTTGAGAAATAATCTTCGTGCCTTTTCATGCAGGTCGTACTCACCCAATAATTGCCCTTATCATCTTCGAAAATGTTATTGAAGCCGGCCTCTTCGGGCTCGCATTCAGTATTGGGAACCAAGTAATGCTTGCTTTTCTCCTTATCCATACCAAATTTCACCAGATTCTTGTGCTGTATGATAATCTTATCGCCGAAATAAAAAACACCGTAACTGAGAAATCCTTCGCCTCCAGGTAAATTATAAATGACTCCATTTTCTTCACAATAGGCCTCGAGAATTTTAACTGAAAACCAAGTAATCTTTTTGTCGTCGAGCTTGAACTGTGTGCATAACATCGTTACATTGTTCTGTCGCGCGCAGATGCCGATCAATCCATTGGCCAAGGAGACCACAGGTGAGTAAACATCTTTGACATGAGTTAAATTCTGCCTTTGACCTGCAAGAATGAAAAATGTTTCATTAATGTTAATTCAAATTATGAAAAACAAAACGTCTCTTTTTAATAACTACCACTTGGTTGAATAAGAGCCACTGTAATCGACGGTTTTTCAGGCTTGATGGGTCTCAGTGTTTCGATGTACAAATAACCCTCGTCCTTTGACAAGGGAACAATTAGTGGCTCGACCAAAGTATCCTCGGGGTAAGTAACCAACGTATCGACCTTCGAAGCGACTCCACGAGAATCGATCGATGATCTGTAAACTTTGTCCCAATCTTCTAACACAACTTCAAAATCATCCTCTCCTTTGATATAACGCAGCTTGTTAAATTTCTCATCGCCATTCTCAATACAGGACCTCTGGCCCGGCCGCAAAGAAAGTGATATTCAGTATCTCGAGTGATCATTTATATTTGTAATCAGCTGATTGAGATCTGCCGAAAGTTTGGTCGTTTTAACGCTACAATTGGAAAAGTCGACGACGCTGAATCGCAAATGATACGGGTCATCTTCGCCCCCGTCACTCTCGAACCAACGTAATATCGCTCGATCATTGCCCAAAGGTTCGATTTTAATCTGAGTCGTCTGGATGAAGCCACCCGACTCGGAGCTCAGCGTGATTTTGCACTCGTCCTCCTTCGGGCTGTCCCCCGAGAAATCTGCCTGCAATCGACGAATTACACATTCTTTCTGTCGCTTGATGTTCTTGTCGCACACACCATAATAGACGGTGGTATTTTCCAAAGCACTGAACACTATGTTATTTTCACCAACTTCACGTTTGAACTGTAATGTACTCTCAGCTAGAAAGCCGAAGGATTGTATAAGTCCGAAAGCACAGATGAGGCAAGCAAAACCACAGAAGACCAAAAGAATTAACCAAATTATCTTATCGCATGTTGAAAATTCAACACGTCGGTCGACGTCGGTTGTAGTTTCAATTTCACTCATTGTGGATATTTTATGCTGCGTGCTAGTCTTAGCACGTAGGTCGCCGAACTGACACTACTGAGACTCGACTACTTTGTTGCCTTGATTTCGTTCACGTGTTAGGCCCACCGTATCGTTCAAATGCCACATTTATAGTTAGAAAATATACGTTCTATTTACTATGAAACTCAATTTTTTGTCTCTTTCTTCGTTCGTATATAAGTTTACATATGTCGCGTGAGCGCCTCGTAATACCCATCATTATCCAAAAAGTTATTTTGGGCTCATATGAAAGTTTATTCATTCAGATATAAACGATGCAACGATAAACGGTAAATAGCTTATATTGGGAAAATAAACGTCTGTCAATGTAACCGCCGAAAAATTGAAATTCGTATTTAGATGCATTTTGAGATATTTTTTCATATTCTTTTATGAAATTAAATATATGAATTCAGAATCTTTCTCAAAAATGTACATCGATGCACATTTCAAAGTTAGATATGTGAAATCACCAATTCTTCGACATCAGCCTATATAACAATCCTAATAATCCATAGCCTAACAAACTATGGATCAGTTTTAATTGCACAACAATATGTGAAAATTTAGTTAAATGTTTATATGAGAATTCAATATTATTTTGAAAATTTACATTTACACGAGCACAAATATTTTTAAAAACATGCTTATGAGTCGCAACGATTTCTTTGTCCGAAATCTCGAAAGCCCTCAAGTTCGAAAAATAAAAACTTTTTCTTGCCAAGTTAGTCATAGTATTTTGAATTTAATTTTTTGAACATCGAGGGAATAAAAAAAACATTAAAAATAGACGATACTTTTCAAGCGCAGTCACACCGATAGTACAGTAAACTTGTACTAGTCAACCCTGTAGAATCCGACTATTTTTATTCAAGTCGTTGTAGTATATTTAGATTTATTTTGAAATTATTTCAGGGAAAATTTCTTGTTCAAAGAAAGTAATTTTGAGACGTTTTATAAATGTTTATGAATGCCTAAGCTTGAACTCAGACCATAGTAACTTAAATTTGATAACTGAATAGCATAAACTTGCAAAGGAATTCTGTTTTTTGTGAAACATAAACTATTGTATTCTACGTTTCCTTTTTGTTTTTATAAAAATAATTTTCCTTTCTCTTGTCTACCATATCGCCGAAATTACATTTTCTTGCATATTAAGGAGGCTGTTGCGAAAATGAAAAAAAACTTTGGATCCAAGTGAAATTTTAGCGAATGATAGTTTATGAAATTACAAGATTTTTGGTAAAAAAAATTTGGGGTTTCCATGCAAACTTGGAAAATAATGAAATTCAAAGTTTTGGCCATTTAACATTGAATCAAATGGGAAGTGGCAGTTGTTAGTGTATTGTGAGCTCAAATCTCTTTACAAGTTAATGAAATTAACATATGTTATAGGAAATTTCATTAGCTTTCGAATGATATAATTATAAATGGGCGTTTCCAGGCAAATAAAAAAGATATTAAGGGGAGGCTCTCATGAGACTCGATCAAAAAATCGATTTTTTTTTATTTACTTAGTAAGCAAATGTCTCGTAGAATATACCCCCGAAACCCTTTTTACCAATTTAAAAAGTTTTAGGTTTAACTTTAAAAAGTTATAGGCAAAAAACCGGAGCTGTCTTTTTACGAGCGAACGATGTATACGTACATTCGCTTTCTAAAACTTTAAACACGATTTTTTCGAAACCATGTTTTCTGCATCGGGCGCCAACATATCTCAAAAAGGACTGCACTTAAAGATACGCTTTTTTCTGGCACCGCCTTTATCGCTGTTTCATTTGTACTGACATTTACCAAAAAAAGCGCAACAATTTTATCATGAGTTCCACCAGCCCTCGGCTGAAATCGGGCAGAACTTCAAGGGACAGTTCTAACAATTGAACCTTTTTCAAGCGTATAAAAGCAACATATGGTATCAAGACGATGAGATTTCTTAAAAATTGGCAAAAGTGAAGATCGGACTTGGACAACAACACGACAACAACAATCTTTATTTTAACATCTTAAAATATATTAAGTAATTCTAATGATTTAATACACACTCGACGCCTCAGTTTTATATTGTTTACCATCGGTTGCTTATTATTATTATTGTTATTGACATCGCGGTAACTGACTATATGTAATATCGGCAGTCACGTACACAACAGTCCTGAAGAGGCCGACAAAGTGGTCGGCGAAACGTCGACTAGGTGACGAGGTAGTGTGTGATTACACACTCTCGCCCACCCCCTGTTATAATAAATTTGACTTTGGCACCGCCTTTATCGCTGTTTTATTTGTATTGACATTTACCAAAAAAAGCGCAACAATTTTATCACGCTTTTTTTCTATTTTAAAGCTAATTAAATTGTCTGGAGATTGAACCAATAAAATTTTTAATTTTTTCATTATTATTATTTTTAGAGCCCTTAAAAGAGCCAAAAAGAAATTTCTGAAGTCCGCCATTTTATCAATTTTTAATTTTTTTTGCAATTATTTAGGTTCAAGCCACAGCAAATGTCATCTAGTTTAAGAGGAACTTCACATTTTTAGATTTGGGCAAAAACTGAAGGCGATAGCTTCGCGCCCGTTGAGGTATCTTTTTTTAACACGACCTACATCAAATGCTGCTAGTGGATACATAATTCGATATTTTGGTCTGAGAAAATTTATAAATATAGTTAAATACATATTTTATAAGTACCAAAAAACTTGACTGCATTATTCACTTCCTTCCGTGAAAAAAAATTACGAAAAACACGTCATTTTTGAAGCGCTAGATGAGAGCCTCCCCTTAAGAGTCCAACACATTTCCCCTATGTTCTGCCATTCTAACGCTGTGCGCTGCGTAACTCATATAGCCTTGTGCAAATAGCGTTTTAATACAGAACCACCTCCCATTACTACAGCCTTCTTAAGTCTTCAGTATTGGTCTAATGAGTAAATGTAAAAAATTAAAAACACTTATCTATATAGTGAGAAGTGATACATCTGGGTAAAAATAACAAATCAAAAAATATGGATAATAAATTTTATTATTGATCGCCATTTCGTATCTTTTATCTTTATAAAGTCACGTTTACTATAAAAAAAGTATAGTAAATGACATGATAACTACATTTTGTTAAAATTTTATATTAATGTTTACGCGATATGAGTAATATTTGGTCATTTTTTACTTTCTCAAAAAATTAATATACGTTATATCTTAAAACTATTTTAGAATATACAATTTAACATTATTTATTTCATTTGAACAATGAATAATTTTTCACTCGCAACAATGATCTCTCATATATCTTTTAAGAAATACAACACATCTGTCGACTCGACTCATGTTGGTAACACGTTTAAAGTATTTATATTATCAACTGTTTTGTTCATTTGATTTACATCTATAAAATATACAAGTTTTTGAAATGATTCATTATTATATCATTATAATTAATACTGAATTTTAAATGCAGTAAAATCAAATAAAAACGATTCATTCAATATGCTGATTCAATAAAAATAAATTATTTAAATGCCAAAAACATCAAGTGTATATAATTGAATACTGTTTTATTTACAATTTCAAAAAAGTTAAGATACGAAACATCTTGACGATTTGAATTTCTTGATAATCAATTTCGTATTCTGGTTTTGGAATTTATCAATAATAATAAATCGAAAAATCTTAGATGTGACGTAAAATTATTTGGAGTAATATTATGCACTTGAAACCTATGTTTGCAAGAATTAGTTTATAAGCTAATAAAATCATCAATGCAAATTTTTTTTTCATTAAAAAAGTTAAAATTAGTATTATAATAATTAGTTAAAAGTATTTCACAGTATAAAGTTAAAATGTAAAGATTGAAATTCTTATTTACACAAATAATTGTTTCGTAAAAATTGTATGAAACTATAGTAAAAATTCATACGCTCAATTTTTTACTTAAAATCAATTTAAATATAAAGTTATACCATATAGTTAAGACGATTGCGAATGAAAATGAGAACAAGAGAGCTTGATTCAGTGGTAATAGACCATGAACCATTCGGTGAAACGCTTTATATGCTGAGTTGCCGCATGATTTTCGTCTTGTAAGCGGCGATTTTCATCGCGCAATCTTCGGACTTCGTCTTCTAATGACAACCTTCGGCGCGTTTCTCGAGCAACTCGAAGTTCTAAGCTAGATAAGTGGCTCTGCAAGTCTGAAGGTGGGCTTCTGAATAAAAAAATGTGACATTAGGAATTATATTTCACGGCACATGAAAAAACTTTTAGAATGGCAGAAAGCATCCAACTCACATAATCGTATTCATGCTTTCCTTATCAGCTGGTCGTTCCTGACTGTATTTAGATATCCGACTATTCATTTCATCGTGGCGATTATTCGTCCAATGTTTATTATCAATTTCAGTAGAGTTTTTGGTTTCCTTGCTTATCATATTGCTCGGAGTTTTAGTCGCTTGCTGCGGCGTTTTTGTCACGCGTGGCGATAATCTGAAAGTTTTTCGTACAATTATTATTTATGACGACAAAAGCGGAGACTTGTCATAAGTACTGCTGTTCATTAAAAATAAACGTGTTCCGTCACTATTAAGGAGTGCGCTAGCGTCTCGTCGTCAAAGTATTTTCAACACGTGCTTTTATTCTTTCAAACAAATGAATAGCGTGTGCACATTGAATAAAACATTCATATTAGCGATAAGAGTATATAAAATCTGAGAATAAGATTTTTGACTTTTGATACATAGATAATTTTGATTATCCCTTAAGATGATGAAATAAAAAAAAACTAAAAGAATTTATCTTTAATTTGCGTTTGCAAATAATTTATTGTTAGTCTTGTTACAAAATGAAAGTCGAATTCATTTCTTAATTATAACGAAAATGTAAAAAAATATATTACATATTTTACAAAATTCTATGCATCTAAGTCTTTAACTAACATTGCACTGATTTTTTTTCACTTTGAAAAATGCTTCATTAGCCTTCGCTACTGTTTCCCTAAAAAAAAAAAAAGAAATACATGATTTAAAAACTGATCCTACTGTCCAAGTTCCATCGTGTCAACTGTCAAGTTATTAACAATGTTAATGATGTTGATGAATTTTCAAATGCACTAGATTATGATATAATCAAAAATGAACACAACGTTTACATCTAAATATTAAAACCAAATTTTACCTTTCTTCTTTTGATAATTTATTTTCACTCGGAGCCGGACTGGAGGCTGTGCTTGCATTCGATATCACAGTGGCTGGTCGGGCTATCGTCAAAATGACCTCGGATCCAGGATTGCCGTTCTCTTGTCCATTCGGCAGAACAGCAAGCGTCGAGTTGCTATTTCCACACAGATTTTCACGCGACCTGCATCTATTTTGAATCTCTACGATATTGTTATTCGTTTTGTTCGAATTTTGCAAATTCTTCGAATTTGGGCTCGAATGAACGTCATCGGTAAAAAAGTCCGGATTGATAAGTTTCATAAGATCCTCTTGCAACGTGCTCGAAGCCAAATTAGCGGAGTTACGATGAGAACTGCGAGCTCCGGATTTCGGTCGAGGACTCTCATTTCTCGAACCGTTGCTCGAAGGCGTCAAGTTGCCAGGAGTTCGATGTTTATTTGCTCTTCGCAATCTGTGAAAGTTTTGAATTTGAAATTATAATTTATTCATACAGCGCGTACAAATTTTTTTAACGATTATTGTTATCACTTGAGCATACCTTGGTGAAATACTTCCAGAACCATTTGATAGTTCATCTTCACTAGGAAGCGTAGAAATATCCGTTGCATTGTCGTTTAGCCTACTGACTTCAGCTGGTAAGCTTGATGTCAATTCTTTGGGTCTATATTCTATGTTGATTTTATGCGGCACAGGTCTCTCAGTCATAATTGTTTTCAGGCACGTCACTTTCTCGCCAAGTTTAAATTCCTGTCCTTGAGCTTCTCTTTCATTTTTTGAATCGCCGTTGAGATCCATTTGTTGCAGCATTTCAATCTCGTACTTGCTGCGTCTGTGATCGAATTTTTCATCGCCACTGATTTTTATGTCTTCGTAGCACTTGGAACTTCGATTGAGTTTGCTCTCAATGTGAGGCATGGACTGTTGCTGCTGTTGCTCATACTCATATCGCACTAGATTGTTATTGCTACTCGATTTAGCAAGCTTGTAGACAGAATTTGCAGCATCCGGTAAAGAATTCGTTACCGCGACTTTTTGATGACCTGGAGAAAATTTAATTGCTTAGCATTGGCTTTTTATTAGACATTTCAAAAATATTTTAATCGACGAGTTTGCTTACCTTCAATTTTATTATGAAGCTCTCTTCGCGAAGTGTAAATATTTTCTTGTTTGGTTTCATACTTTTCTTTCTGTAGTTTAACGTAGTTATTGCTGCTATTATTAGTTATTGCGTGCTCTTGATTGCGATGATGCATACTATCGATTCGCTGATAATTATCGTGTCTCATGCTCTCTTGAATGGCCCGAGGCGACGCGTAATTACCGTCCTTTGCATCATTGCCGTGCAGGTGATCATCGCGTCTGATGTCATAATTCTTACCGCCTAAATAATGAGAATCTTTCTCCTTTTTTGGAGTACAAGCGTTGAGTCGGCCGTTGCTCGTTGCGCCACCCTGATGATTCTGTCTCGCCGGCAATGGCGGTGGCGTACCATTCGAATGCTCCGGCTCTTGATGTTCCAGCATTTCGTACCTATCGAACGATTTTTTTCATTGTCATCTTTGTTCTATACGTATCCTTCCCGACATTATATTTTTCAAAGAACTCACCATCGATCTTCAGAGCTACTGTGACCGCTACTCGTACTGGTCATGGTGCCTTCGAGGGGAAATCGCGGATCGTTGAACGAACGGGAGCTCGAGCCCGTTCCGTAGCCCGAACTGTTACTCGAACGCGGCGGACTGAACGACCTCTCGTACTTCCTATGGTGCGGCAGAGCGGTTTGTTGACTCGGCGTGCTCTCCGGATTTGTCACGTTCTCGTAGTCACCTTCGTAGTTCGTAGCCAAGTACTGGCAATTTTGCAGACTGCAACCTCTGTAAATTGAAATTATTTGTACATCAGTCGCGTTCATACGCATATTGCTTCACATTTTCAACGAGCTTTCGGGAATTCGTCATTATTACCTTCGAGGAGTGTTATCGGGTCCTGGCGGTATCACGGTTATCGTGACCTGAGCGCTGGTCTTGAGCAAATCGACCATTTGATCGTGGCTGAGGGTCGACACGGCCACCTTGCATATCTCGACCAGTCGAGCGCCTTGCCTGAGACCGGCCTGCCAAGAAGATCCCATCGTTTCGACCTGCGTGACCACGCCGTCGGGCTGCACGTGAAAACCCAGCTGCCCGAGGCTGTTGCGCTTCAGAGATAATTCCGAGGCCGCGGTACCTTGGGTGACGGCGCGCAAACGCGACACTATCTCCATCAGCTCGTCTCGGTCGCCGTAATCGCCACGCACGTGTATCGTTATGCACTCGCCTTGATGATAGTACAATCTCAAACTGAAATTGTAAAATAAAAATATATAAATTTCAATCGAGAATTGCCGCTTATTCTTCGATCGATCGATCGCACACGATGCCACAATTGTTTTATACCTGTTCGTCTGCGCGTGCCAACCCAGAACATTGACGCAGGGAGAAACGAACACGATCTGACGCGAGTGCTCCTCGACGAGTACGATCGTGTCGACGCTTATGCCCAGGTAGCAGTCTGTGTTCTGATTGCTGTCCTCGAGGATCACCTGCCAGCAGATCGCGCCTCGCTGCGACGCGTCGCACGACAATCGCGGTCGCACCGGTGTCTTCTTTTTGCTGCTGAACGATAGCATCGCTGCGGACAAAAAAAAATCAGTGAACGACAAAGGACGAGAACCAATGCACGGAAAATGCCGCTTTTATCGTAACTTACAGAATTTTTGGCCGGTTTCCACCATGGTGCTGGTCACGTGATTCGTGGCCAGATCCTTCAGGTACTCCTGGCGGGTGCGCGTGGCCATGGTGGCGAACTTCTCCGAGCGGTGGGCCGCGTTCTCGGCGTTGATCACCTTGGCCAGTATGAAGTCGGCGAAGTGCTTGCCCTTGGCGAAGGTGGCGCCGGGCGGCACCGGCGGCCCGAACACCGGCACCTCCTTGCTGCGCGACACCGACACCGTGTACTGGGTGTTCTCGGTGCAGGGATTGAGGGCGCGCACGACGATGAACACGTGCTGGAACTGCGAGCGTATACGGCGCGGACTGAAGGGCAGAGCGCCCGGCTCCTGGAACACGATGGTGACGATGTCGTTGCCGATGTGGCGCTTGCGCAGCAGCTGCTGCCGATTGTTGGGCGTGAAGGGCAGCATGGTGGAGACGTGGAAGGTGACCTCGGCGCCGCGATGCTGGGCCGCGACGGCGTGCGTGCCCGTGGAGTCGGTGCGCGTGTCCAGGCCGGCCTTGTAGCCCTCGAAGCCCAGCAGCCTGATGCGCTGGCCGATCGAGTCGAGGAACTCGAGCAGGGCCGGGCCCGCGTGCTGATTGTTGTACATCTCCTCCTCTGTCTTCTGGCCGGCGCGACAGTAGAGCACGCCGACCTTGTAGCGATTGGACAGGCCCTGCTCGTCGAGGCGCGCCAGCGACTCCTCGCTGGCCGCGGTGCCCAGTCTCAGGCAGCTCGTCTGCACCTCGGGCGCCACGAGCTCGAGCAGCTCGCGCGTCGGCAGCTTGCCGACTGCGCTGCCGCTGCTGCTCTGCTGGGACCTGCCGCTGGTGGGCAGCGCCTCCTCGGGCACGCTGCCGCGCAGCGTCAGCAGCTCCGAGGTGCGCACCACCACGCGATACTGCTGGCCGTCGCGGCGCAGACTGATCGCCACGGGCCCGAGCTGCTCGTCCATGCCGAACCAGTTCTGGTGCTCGCGGCCCAGGAAGTAGCGCCGATAGTAGTGGGCGCCCTCGTCGACGCTCTCGATGGGCAGCGGGCGCTTCTGCAGCGGACACGTGTGCTTCCACAAGGTCTCGTTGGCCGGGGGCTCGAGTACGCTGACCCCGTAGGCGAGCACGGGCCGGTGCAGGCCGCTGCCGCTGCCGTTGCTGCTGTGGGGCCGCCGCGTGAGGCCCACTTCGCGCTCGCCCTCGCCGCCGATCTCGTTGCGGAAGAACGGGCACGACTCCAGCAGCTCGTTACCTGGGTGCAAAATCATCGGGGTCATAATATATACTTTGTTAGAAAAAATGTCTCGATCCCGAACGAAAATCGTTTCTTCTAGAAAAATTAATTAACTTTTATTCATTGATATAAACATTCGGATTTGAGATTCTAATGAAAGTTGATAAAAGTTTATAGAAGTTTATACAATTTTATAAGAGTTCATAACATTGTAAATTTTTTTTTTCATTTTTCAGTTAAAATAATGTAAACTTTTATAAAAAGTTATGATATGTTCCTAAAAAGTATTTCATGTTTATAAAGAATAATCAAAGATAATAAAAGTTTATAGATCTTTCTATTTTGCGATTTCAAGTTCTGAAAACATGAGAATGAGCTTTTAAACCAAACATTGTACGATCATTTGGTTCATATATTCGTAAACTACATAGAATTCTTAACAAATGTTCGTAATAAACTTTTATCAACTCCTATAAACTTCTAAATACTTCTATAAACTTTTATTAACTTTTGTTAAAGTCTCAAATCCGAATGTTTATATCAATTAATAAAAGTTTTGCAAAGTTTATAGCATTTTATAACAAAAGATAATTTTCGTTGGGATGTAATTAAGCTGGAAGCTGGAAGCAGTGTGGTAGTTTATACCTTTTGCATCGCCGACGTCCTCCTCGGGCAGCTCGTCGGGCGTCGACGCTCTGAGCGAGCTGGCGGCCGAGGCGCCAGTCGCCGTGTTTCTGCGCCTGGCCAGCAGGATGCCCCGGAGCTTGGCCGCGTAGCCCAAATTGGCCGTGAGCGACTGGCAGTCGTAGTGGGCGAAGGCCCTCCTACGGTGTCGCTCCTCGACGTCGGCCGACACCACGGGACTGGTAACGCTGCTGCTGCTGGTCATGGACGTCGACGACGAAGCCGAGGCCGTCACCGTCGTCATCGTCGTCGATTGCTGCTGCTGCTGCTGTATCTGATGATGCTGCTCCTCCGTTAAACTGATGGCGTTGCGAGTCTGTTTGCTGCCCCAGAGCCGATTGAGCTTGAGCCTGAGCTTCGGACTCGAGCCGCCGGTCGGGCCGCAGACCTCGTCGACGTCGTTCGCCGACGCCTGCTGCGAGCTCTCTTGTGTCGTTTGTTGCTGCTGCTGTAGGTGCAGATGCTGCTGCTGCTGCTGCTGGAGCTGCTGAAACTGCTGCTGCTGCTGATGATGATGACGCATCATGTGCTGCTGGTGCAGTTGCTGACGCCTTAACAGAAACTCCGAGGCCATCGGCCCTCTGATCGACAGCGGCAGATTTCTCGAATTGAAGTCCTGCAGCATGGCCAGAAGATTCTCGTTCATGGTGACGGACTGCGCGACCACATCGATGCTGCCTGCGTGTGTCAATCCAAAAAAACGAGGCTATGAGTATACTATAATCAACGTCATGCGCGGCTCGAATTTCTAAAGTAGCAAGTATTTTAATTGCCGCGCATTTACTCGATGAGCGACGAGCTTCCCGCCACTCGTTGATAGTCATAAAGGTGAATCACTTTTTTTTTGTTCGTTTCTGTTTTGATTCTTCGATACTCGAGGATCGAAAAATCACTGCGTGAAAAGGGGTATTATCGAATAGACGATATTTACGAGCGCGATGAAATTTCAAGTACATAATAAGGATTTAAAATTGAATCGATTGCCATCGAGAGATAAATAGAGGAAAAAAGTGCCTCGTAACTGTCGATGACTTAATCGTACCACGAAGAGCACACGGCCAGAGAGACGTGTGTGCACACGCGTAACATTAAGCTATCGAATTTCGGAAAAAGGAAGAACGGATAATTCGAAATAATCGAGCGAGGAAATTACTTCCGGAAAATCTCGAGAGTTTCCACGGAAAAACGAGTCAGATATTGTATCGCGCGTACATACGGATTATTTTACTCACCGTGAGATCCGTACTCCCGCCTGAGCGGCGAGTCCGGCGCGCGCGACGACAGCGGATCCGGACTGTGGGGCAGCTCGAGGCTCGAATTGGAGCGATGCAGGGCTGCCAGTCCGCGGGCCCCGCGGCCACCCGACGACGAGCCCAGACTGCCGGCTCCTCCTCCTGCTCCGCTGTTACAACCACCGCTGCTCCCGTTCATTGAGACGCCCGAGATCATCTCGCCATTCTGTAATGAAAAATGTACCATATAGTCACGTGATGATTTGTAAAAGAGCAAGAATAATTTGATGTCATGTTTTTTGACATGATGAAAAAAAAAAAAAAAAAAAAAAATTAANAAAAAAAAAAAAAAAAAAAAAAAAAAAAAAATGAAACACCGGCAAGCATCGGAGTCGACCGAGCTATATATAAGTAAAGTCGCAACTTTTTCCGCGAGTGTGTGCACCTATATATAATATATAATACTTTATTACACCGCGAGTGCTGCACCTGCTTGCTCGCGCGAATTTCTATATAAATTGCGTGCGTGCGCGATGCATATTACGTGCCTCGCACGCGCCTTTATATCTCGGCACGGAATGTCTTAATGAAGTCTTCCACACAAAGAGAGGACGAGAATGTCGTTGCCTCGCGAATATATATTCAGTCGAATCGACGAGTTTATATATATACGCGCGCGTTCGTCTAGCTTACTCACGGCGTATCTAGAGTATCGCATTTCGCGTCTCGCGATTACGAACCAACTTTTCTTTCCATTTTTGTTTTATTTTTTTTTTTTTTTTTAGCTCATTTCCTCTGCGTGCGACCACTCGAATTAATAAAAATGTATCTTGGCAGCGAAGAACGCAACGGTGGCGGTGCTGCAACAGCATTTGCACTGCATATAATACGCGTGTGGCAGTTGAATTACGGCATTTTAGAGAAGATGCGGCGCAACAGACGGCGCAAGAGAGAGAGAGAGAAAGAGCAGCTGGCTCGCGAGACTCGAGTTGCTTAACGTCGTAATAAGGATGAGCGTTGCAAAAAAAAAGCAACAACAACACAAGCGGGGACGGATTGTTTCTCGCGACGACGACGACGACGACGACGACGACGAAGACTTTGTGAGTTTCATGTCGTCGGCCTTAGTATGCACAATTCCTTCTTCTTTTTGTTTGCGTTCGTGCATTTTTTTTAACCTCTCGAGAATGCAAAAAGAGAGACAGAGAAAATATTTAAATGCAATAATAGAAACGCAGACACGCGAGGTCTGGGAGCTCCATTTGGAAAGCGAGCGAGCGAGCGATACTCTTGGGAAAACGACACGCAACAGCGCTGCAGCTCCAAAAATGCATTCGTTTAAACAAACGAAAAAGGTGCTACTCTTCACGCGCTGATCCTGACGTTTTGGATCGCGATTTCGATGCACATCGTTAAAGATTAATCGGAAAAGATAAGTCTCCTGGTAGGTACGATTTAACAAACCAAAACATCAATGCGAAATATAGTTTATTTTAAAGCATCACTGTACATTATAAATCTTGTAGGAAGCGATTAATTGACTGCACATCTTGAATACGAGATTGCATAATTTCAGAATATTTATATGACAAACTACACATTCATATGGATCAAACTGTGAACCTGACAAATGGATTCGGTGGATTTCACGAAAGATATGTTTTTGATCATTCGACCAGTGCGACAAACTAATTTCGGAATTATTGTTAATTGGCAAATGACATTTCGAAGCTCGTTCATTCGAAAATGATCTGCAATTGTGAATGCCATTTGGATGACGATGTGGATCGAAATCCTTTCGGTTCTAAGGTAGATATTTTTCTTTGATAAATTTTGATATGAAGTTAAAAACAAATCATAAACACCAACGTTGTTCTCATTTGTAATTAACTCCTAGAAAGTATGACGAGGATTACAATTATATGAACGAAGAAAATATTTTTCTCTTGCGCGAACGTAGTCCTGTTATACAAGAGAGCCTCGTAGCGGCCACTATCACGAATCAAAGTACACATATTCTCCCGGTTATTTGACTCATAATTACGATCGTCTGGTTTGTTTACAAACGACTTTCGATCTTCGAAACCGAACCGTGCGTATTTGTATCATCTAGCGTGTCTCTAGTCGAACCCAGTAAATTAATTTTTACTCTTCGCGACATAAACGCGCTATTCAAAAGCTATTTTTTTCTGTCAGTCTCGAATTCGTTCCTCGTTTCGCTCGGCAGTAAAAACGATCGTCTCGAGGAAAGCTCGTACGAAGCGTTTTTTTTTTCTCAATTTTTTTACCGAGCTCCGCAGTGAGTGGACGTTATTTGCGTACACACACGCTGCTATACTTAATTGAATCCATCATTACCTTGCTACGGCATCTCGCATGCCTATATTTATTAAAATGCGTTAAAGTGAATTTACTCGCGAAACGAATTAACGCGATTCATGCACACGACTTCTCGTGTACGCATACCTTCGATCAATGTCTTTTCCGAGAAAATTATTGCGAATACGTTTATTCGGTACACGATTAAAGCAGCATCATAATATGACGAGCTCTGTATAATAGAGCGTATGCGCACACGCGCGCGAAGCTAAATCGAATCTCGCGCTATTCTCTTTCTCTGATTTCGTCGAAGTATATTATATGCACGCATACGTAAAAGATTAATCGATGAGGCAGCGATGATCTAAACCCGCCTCTCGTTCTCTCTCTCTCTCTCTCTCTCCATGATGTGCATCGGAGCAGACGCATCATATATGTATACCTAAGTGCTGCTATATATACAAGCAGCTGTCATCGGCCGATAAAGACCTTGGGTACTTTACGCTATATTAACCACGCGATAACTCGAGTGCGTTGCGCAAATCTCGAGTACAGCTCGCGGTAATCATCTGCCACAATCGCGCGCCTTTCTATATTATAATATATATAATGTAATATATACAAGTCGCATCTATATATACAGCGTCACGGATGCACAGCAGCTACATGATATATAACGTAAAAGAGATTATTATGAACTAGGCGCGTGCAGGAGAGGATTTTCCTCCCTTCCTCTACGCATATCGCCGTACGACGTATATAGAAAGAGGAGATAGAGCGAGAGAGAGAGAAAAATCGCATATTGCGTGCACACACGCCCGGACACGTTTAAACAGGTTGGACGAGCTCGGCGATCGGTTTATATATTATTACGAGATGAGCCGTTCAAGAAGCGCCGGGTTTTTTTTATTGCAATAATGAAAAAAAAAAAAAAAAAGAAAAGAAAAGAGTAACGTTTCATCCAGCTAGAAGCTTCTTTGCGTTTCTATTTTCACGCGCACTTTCCACAGACCACGCCCGCGAGTCTCTCGATCCTTACGATTTTCCAGCGTTTACATAAATGACCAAAATTCACGCGGTGGCGAGCAGCCCCTCGTGTCCTGCATCGCAGCAGCAGCCACCTGTTGATCGTATATACAAGATCGGACTTGCGCGTGACGTTGCAACGTCGATAGACAGGAGATAATGTACCAATAATGCCGGTGAACACGACAACAAGACCGGGACACTGTACCGAGCAGGTATACAAGCGTGTTTAAGAAAGGTCGAAAGGCTGAAATCCGGTCGCTGCAGGTTTGTATACGCGCCGTTCGTACCGGAAGTCGGTCGATGCAGCGAGTCTTCGCAGTGTGTCCTGCTTGCCTATATGGCTGCGTCGTGGCAGGCTTATTATATTATATACAGGAGGACGATGCGCGCGGCTCGAGACCAAAGCCAAATTGCCGTGTATATCTACGCGCGTCGTTATACGCTGCGAACAATAAAAAGGCGTTTATAATAATGATGACGAATTTGCCACTCTATACCCGGTACGCCGTACGCGATGGTTCGGCGTTCTTAATTACCATTGAATGAGACGGCCATAATTGCTATTGTATTCGAGCCGAGCGACTAATTTTCAACAGTTACGTCATGAAGCATATATTCAGTCGCGTTGAGAGTAATAAAAGTTTATCCTTTTCCTCTCGATTATCTCTCTCTACGTATATACCTGTATCTCAACTGTATCGTTTTTATGATAAACTTCGCTCGTTCGGTCGTCGAGTTATTGCGAAACACACAATTTTGTATCAATATTCATTGCTAATCCGTAATGGCTTTTAAATGCATTTAAGCTCGAGTGAAACATTTCTGATTAGTCGCAAATTTACAACACTTTCTTCGGTTTACACACGATCTTGGAGGATTTCTCAAGAAGTTTCGTCGCGCGCGCGCGCGCAGAGAAAACGAGTAAATATACTGCACGGCCCAAGATATTATTTCATATTTTTATAATAAACGACAATTCTCGGGCTCGATAGAAAATAGAAAACGACGTAGTCGTCGTCGTCGTCGTCGTCGTCGTCGTCGTCGTCGAGGAGACAAGAGAGGAGAAAGTTATTATAAACACAAGTAAAACGCGAAAACGTTTCTTCTGCTCCCGTAGCAGAGAGAACCGGGGCAATGAACAATTTTTACGACCTCGACTGCGCGCGCCTGCATCCATATACACACCGAAGAACGACCGCAAATAGTTATAAAAACTAATACCATAAATATCGAAAGTAAGTACACAAGTATTAAAAGCCATTGCGAACGAATATTCGCTCGAACGAGGCGGGCGATGATCGGGGCTTTCGATTTCGATTTTTCAATTACGCTCTCCGATCGACGAAGCCCCGATACAGGCGCCGCGAGCCGCATAGCTATATGTACGCATCGGACGGGGAGAACAGAAAAAAAAACCTTAAAAACATCCGGCGAATCGCTCGAACGCGATCGGGGGCCCCTTCTGTACGGTGGTGCCCGGATTCTACCGTCGATCGCGAGCTTCCTGCGAGCTGCAGCGATCTCTTGCCGCGTTATGGGCATCGCCTCGAGCATCGACGCACGAAAACGACTCAATCCTGGGAACGATATAAGCGCTGCACCGTGTCTGTTAACTTGAAGTTCTTCGCTTGCACACTACTGCTGCGCGTAATATCGTCCTCGTACACGCTAATTTTTCTTGGCGCGATGTCATTCGTTTTTTTTTGCAGCTGCTACAGACGCGTCAGCTTTTAGTGCATTTACTTCACGGTCTTGTGATTATCATTCTTCAAATTGGCTTTTTCCGAAGCTCAACTATTTTACCCAGAGTCAGAAACGGTTAGTCAGCACACGATCGGTGATCAAAAAATCAGAACAATCGTTGTGGACGAGAACGAGCTAGTCGTGAATCGTTACTAATTGTGTGAATTATTTTGCACTTGTGCGTGCGCCGAGATCGATACGTTGAAATATTTCCTCGTGACTCATCGGCCTATATTTTATTCTTATTGAGTTTAATTCTCACGAGAGTGGAAATCTTCGGAGTAGACGGGTGCTAATAAAATATTTTTCAAAACATCGCTACCTGCCTGTGGGTATTTAATAAAAATGTATACATAAAACATTAGAACGATACTTCATGACATTCGTCGCTAACGTAAAAATCGATAAAATCATAATGTCGAAAAATCGAATTATCGAACTTTAACTATGAAAAGTGACTAAGATTCTATCGTTATCCTCTGGCGATTCGAGCCAACCATATATAATATACGAAACAATTTCAATGAAAGTCATTCGCTCGAGCGAATCTCTCTGCATGGCCGCAGAAACTTGACATTTTTACTTTTCCTGGTTTGTTTTTAGAATGCATCGGCTACGCTTATATACGTATACGTATAAAAACATTATAAGGTATGCGGCTAATATGGGCGGGTATGCGTCACGATCCAATGCGTATAAAAGAAAAACCGATACGACTACGACGTAGACGACGACGACGACGACACACCCACTCGAATGCAGTAAAAAACTTTCTCTCTCTCTCGTCTCGATATAGATATACATTTCACTCATAGTAAAATGTATGCATTTCAGCAGCACTTGCGCCCGATTGGGTCTAGAGCGTATAATGATATCGGAAAATACGCTCGGTGCACCGTATATATAATGCTCGAGTTTCTGAATCCGTATACGTTATTTAATGACTGTGTCCACAATGCGCAGCCGATGATTTGAAAAAGTTTTCATTTCGAGTGCACGACACTTACGTGTCGTAGTTGCGTACGAGGCCAATGATTTCGATTCGAAGCTTTTTCTTTTTTACTCAAAACTATATACAAAACAATGCGAGATATTCGTGATGCGGAGTCTCGTAATGACATCAAGCGTGGCGTCTATCCTCACTCATCGTTTAGCGAAGCGATTACTCTCGATGCGGATTAAAGGCTCGTCGACTGACGCATCCAGCCGAGTGGAAAATTCGCCATCGCGCAGCCTTCGCAGTCGATCGGGAGATTTTAACGACGCGTGTATACATCGGCAACAGCGTCGGTAGCATATAATGCATATTAGATGCCCACGCGGTATGCTCATTGCCATTTTTCAAGTTGCCGCCAATAAGGTACCGTAGGTATAATACATATAGCGTCGAAAAACTTGCAGCGCGCTGCTCGAGCGTCGTCGTGTATCTGTCGCATTCCGCGCGTGTCTCGTGCGTGTTTCGCTTTTATCGTAACTCGCGCGAAAAACGTCGCATTTAGAATAAAAACAGACGGATCGTTCGCCGAGAAATCGTGAAAGTTTTATGAACGACGCGACGAGATAAGTAATAATGAGGCAATGAACGACGTTGAACACGTGCAAAATCAATGCGAGCGATTGCTGAGCGCTCGATTAAAAGCAAAAGTCTCCTGACGATTTTGAATCATTTGTTTCGTTAATATATACAGAAGATCGAGCGTCGAACTGGCACATGCACTTATAGGTATGAAAAGGAACACTTCGGCACAAAGAAAGACTACATTCGTAGAAAACAATAACTGCATTCCGAGTGCTCCAGCGTAATTATGTTCGCGGTTGCGTGTCCCAACCACGAGGATACATTTTAATGCAAAATCAATGAATACATAATTTGATTAAAAACTAAAAGCAGAAGATGGAGTTTGCCATGGCGTTTTCACATGAATGATAAATGTCAAAGTAGTTTTCATGAATCGTCGCTTGGTTCCAAACGCTCGTCAAACGTACACGACTCGAAGCCGAAAATATTATGTTCATAACCGGAAAATTTCGACTCGATCGAGTCGAGTCTGATGAGCTGATGAGCTGGCGCGATCAATACAAGGATCGATGTACGAAGTTAGAATGGTCGTTACACACTGCTCTCGCAATATATAGTTACAACGTCTCTGTAGCGTCGTGTATGCCTGCCTAATTTCAAGTAAGCTCTATTACTCCTTGTTAATGTCCGTTCTTTGCTCTCGTTTCCACCATTCGGTCTTAATACACTGACTGTGGCATTTTTTTCAATGAATCTCTCGCGCTGTACATTTTCGGGCGACTTTCTTAATTCCGGGCAACACCTGTGCCTGCTTATAGACCCCCTCTACGCTCGAATTTTTTACTTTCTAATTGCTGCTGGGCATGTGACTCGAGCTACTTCCAACATAGATATCATTGTGAAATAGACGTCAGTTCACGTAACGACGCAGCCGCGTAAATACCCACGACCATCGCATCATCGACCACGCGGTAGCAGTGAGAAGGAACAAATATTTTAAATCACGTGTGTAACAATGGTCCAGGCCAGTTCGTCGAACACCTACGGAAAAGATTGTGTGTCAGGGGCACCATGAAGTGGCCGAACTACTACTGAGGAATGGCGCCAATCCCAATCTGGCCGACGGGCACGGAGAGACAGCTCTGCACTTTATTTGCCAGCACGACGTCGATTTTGCGGAAGAATTTTTCAAAATCACCGACGAAATTAATCGACCGGTAGAGATCAACGCCATGGACAAAGCCGGTGTGACACCATTACACTGGGCTGTGTATCACAAGCACAAAAAGTTGGCCAATTTACTATTGAGAAGAGGCGCCAATCCTGATCTAGCCCACATGGACGGACAAACGGCTCTGCAACAGGTGGCGAATCTGGCTGACAAAGTCCTAACGGCGTTACTTCGTATTTTATGTTTAGTTTTATTTGCACTTATTAGTGTTATAATTTATTTTTCTTGCTTAAAAAAATTTAATTTAAAAATTTAATTTGACTTTCATATTGATAAGCACAAGATCATAAATTGTACATTCATCACTAGGACGCCTTAACAAGAATAAAGTTGACAAAATATGCATAAAAATAAATAAATATTCAAAAGAATTGTACTAAGCTCATTAACTTGATATAAATATACGGGTCGAAATAATACTTTTTTCAGTTTTCGTCCGCACGCACGGCACCTATCTTGACGCGTTTTTGGTATGTTATAGTGCATGGTAAAAAAGTTCTCTAAACCCAAAATTTTAGATTCCCACACCCGCTATAAACGTCTATTTTTGATTTATATTTATTCTGAAGCCCTGAAGCAATTAAAAAATCTGATAAAATTCATGAAGGTACTTTTCAACGATCAAAAACAACTTTAAATTTTTTTCAAAGTCAAAAGTCTAAAATCACGCTATGTACTGCATAGTGGGTTTCTCAGTCAATCGACGCGTACGCTTCATTCCATAATGATTTGAAAGTGTTTGTTCTAATAGCCACGAACTAGTAATATTGCCGACTCATAATGCTACAGTCCCACGAACTAAGTTGGTAGTTTTGAGTTCCCCCCTCTTATTGACATAACCATCCGCGTGTTTTATTTTCTTTAGATACATCTAAATTTCTATCTATAGATCATAGCATATTTGAAGTCAGTAGGCTTCGCGACGCCGAAGTGTAAGCAGCTCGAAGTCATCGCATCGACCTTAGCAAGTGAAAAAGAACAGTAATTTCAAATAATAAGTGATTGGGTTTGTGCGAGTGTTTGAAACAATGGCCGGTGACAATTTTATAAGATCATTATCCAAATTTATCGAAAGCTTCTGCGATTTTGTGCTGCTGACGATCATCGAGTGGGAGGACTGGTGCTGTTGGGATCAGTTTTTAATCCGACGATTTCTTTTCCGTTCGTTGCTGAGGAAAGGCGCCAAACTGAATTGGACCGACGTGGACGGATGGACTCACATGCACTTCCTGTGCAAGCTTTTAAAGGACGACGACAAGGTGGACGAGTTTTTCGAAAAAACGTACGGAAATAATCAACTGGCAAAGATCAACGCCGTGGACAGGTCCGGTTGGACGCCGCTGCACTGGGCCGTGTTTCTCAACGACAAGATCTTTGCCAAATTACTGCTGCGAAAGGGGGCGAATCCGAACGTGGCCGATAAGAACGGACGGACGCCCCTGCACTTGATTTGCATGCGTCTGGACGACGACGACGATTTCGTGAGAAAATTTATCGACATCCCGGCGCGAACGGATCAGTGGGTGCGGATCGACGCCCCGGACGGCAAAGGCTGGACGCCGATGCGCTGGGCTATGAGTCGCAAACACTTGAGAGTGGCAACTGTACTGTGGAGGAGAGGGGAGAGGAGACGCCGTCCGAAACATCTTAGGAAAAATTACGAAAAAAAGTGGTGGCACTTGGAAAGGCAGAATTACTTATGCCTTGTGCTTTTATGTCTTTTTTATCTATTCGTAAGGTATTTTGATGATGATTCGATGCTCAGGATTATTACATCGTCAAGATGCGATCAGTATAAATGTACGACTGACTTCCTAAGGGGCGACCGGTACGGTAATGTACAAGCGCTCAGATATGTGGTGTTTGCTGATCGAGCCTGATTTGCCGAATAAAAGTCCTCTTATAGTCGCAAGTGCGTCTGCGACAACGCAAGAGCGAGTACAGCCATTACCGTACTGAATAACGCGTGTTTTTTCTTCGGGTATAGTTCGCAGTCCAGATCCTTTACGATCCGAGTGTCATAAATATCGCGTCTATACGAATACTTGCATTTGGAGTCAATAACCATTGTAAATTCGACCCTCGTATTATTAATAAGCCTTTGTCATTTAGTTTGCCTTCGTGATTTAATAAAGTTCATTCCTGTACAAACGTACATTCTTCGAATTCTCGATTATTTCAACACCCATTCCATTTCCTTCTCATCCTCTCGTGTGGTTCTTTTCGTGGGACTCGATGAAAAAAAAAAAAGTTGCCAATTTCCAACGCGCCGTACGAGCATTTTTAATCGCTCTTCTCGGTGGTTTTTCCAACCCAACGAGATTCGAGTGCTTTGTCGCGCGCGCGCACACGGTATTTAAGTGTATTGCACTCGCATGCGTCACATTCCTATACGAGTACGGTTACGTGGGCACCTGGAATGTAACGTTGCAGCAGCAGCAGCAGCGAAGACGCGTAAAAAAAAAAATTAGCGCTACATATACTGTTGGAAAACATTAGGAAGAACAGTTGCGCCGTGCTACTGCACTTACGTCGCGTATACATACAAAATACACAGCCTCGTTAGAGACGCATGTGTGTGTGTGTGTGTGTGTGTGTGTACGCGTTACATACGCGCGATCGTGTATAACAGAGAAACACATGCACACGTGTGCCGCTGCTGCTACTGAGCGGCAGAGAAACATCGATGCTTCAAATATACAACGAGACGAATCGTCGTCTCGTATGGCCGATGCTGATTTATTTCGGAGAACGCAAAACCAAAAGCTCACCGAGTCGCGTCAAAATAAAAAAAAAAGGAACACACGCCTTCCGAGGAATGATAATTTTTCTTCGCACCTCTGCGCTCACCGCGGGCTGCTGCTTCCTGCGCAAGAACTCGACTCTCGCGATTGTACAATATATAATATAGGCACGTCGTACCGAGTCTCTCTGAGGCAGCTTATCGAAGATTTCCAGCTAATCATCATGCACAAAGAAAGAAAGACGGACATATATTATAACGTTCGATATATCGAGCACTGCGGCCATGAATGACGCATCTATATATATATATTACAAAACGAATAATATGCGCGCGAGCGAGCGTGGCACGGATTTCCGGCCGGTATCCCCTTTACGTGCATTTAAAATCGTGCGAAACAATGACAACACATGCTCGCGGCGATAGATGCTATTCGTATATTATAGTTGTGCGTGTAGAATACAACCGGCATCGCACGAAAAATCATCCTTTACGCGATGAATTATTGATAAGTGTCTACGCCCGCGTGTGTGCGCGCACACACACATACAGAGAGAGAGACTGCGTTAAAATGCTTTGTGCGAAGCATCGTCGCGTTCATCCTTTTTCTCTCTCTCTCTCTCTTTCGACATTCCACCAAGGTAGGTATAGGCCTCTCTATATACTACCCATCGAGAGGCGCAAGGGCGTCGCGCGGGACGCGCATGAACGCGGCCACACGAAACGGAAGCCACGAGAGCGTATCATCATCCGTGAGAAATTGCGCGCGCTGACAGCTCCTCTATATATACGTTCTATACAATACCACGCGAAGTAAGCGCAAAAATATTGTAACGAGTCAATTTTCTCCGCGCGGTATATATAGAGGCGCAAGTGCACCGCGCGTAGTTCGCCTTGAAACGCGGGCAAGGAGCAGCTCTCGATGTGAAACGTGTTTTATCTTATATATATAGGTACATTTGCGGAGTTAATTTCTCATGCTTTGGCAGAGATACAAGCCGCATCGGCGGTGAATGAGTGAAAATTGCCACGATACGCGTCGGACGTCGCATTACGTACGGTGGACATTGCCCTTTTCTGATTCATTGAAGAATTTCTTACCGCATTATTATCGTGCCTCGCGGAATCGTCCGAATGTCAAACGAGGAGTCGACTTACCTGTAACAAAGAAAAATTACATACGATTAGTTAAATTTCATGAAAAAAGTTATACCTTTACATCGATTTTATGTAATATCGACGCTATAAATTATATCGCAAAAAAGTATCGATATTTTCCTAATAACGCGTAATAAAATTGTTCAAAAAGCGATTAATAAGCTGTCGGAGCTACCGTAGCACGTTTCAAAACAAAATGCGTAAAAGTATAAATCTCGCGCATCTATCGGAGAGAGATACAGAGAGGGGGAGAGATAATTAAAACACATCCTACGAGCGACGAAGATCTACTCCGAAGAGCAACACGACGGGGCCCGTTTCGAAAGAGATAAGGTGTATTACAATCGAGCTCGGGAGCTTATTAAACGGCTCAGCGCAGTGTAAACGCTCGGCTCTTACACGCTCGCGAGCCTCGGCCAAAACACCGATTGTTCATCCAGATAATTTTCCGACGATTAAACGGGATTAAAACGTGGGATAGAGCTTTGATATCGAGCGTTGCTACTGCTGCGGCGCGCCTCCTCCCCGCCCTGTCCTATAATAAGCTGCGTGTGTGTGTGTGTGTGTGTGTGTGTGTGTACGCGCGGACGACTTCCGGCTTCGCACGCACGCATAGTATAGAGCTCCGCGATGCGAGGACGCGACGCAACAACGCAACTTTTACGTTTCAACTTGGAACACAGAGGGCTATATAATGTAGCGTCGACGAAGCGACCACGATAGCTATATAGCACGATGAGTTTTAGGAACGATACAGGCTCGGTTTCGAGTTATCGATACGGAAAATTAAACGCGCTCTAGTAAATTATAAGGGCTGCAGCGGTATCGTATAAAGATGCCTCGAATGACGCATCCATCTCTACCGTCGACAATTTTTTTCGCTAGAAAACGCGTGCGTCAAAATAGAATTACACAAAAGTAAGTATATACTTATGCCAAGTGCGCGAGAAAATTTTACATAACGACGTCGCGTTGCTCGCCGCTACCGCAACGAAATCGCGCGCACAGAATTTCGCGCATGCATTACGCGTAAGCGACGATGCGCAATAACAAACAAAAAAAAGGAATTATCATTCAGCGCATCGGTCACCCGCACACGGCAGCAGCTGTTTTTGTGTCACCCGATGATGTGCGCCTGATCGAAATCTCTAATAAATGCCTCGCCGTTGAGCAGCGGTGGGGTTTTATACGCACCGCAACGAGGCATTAATTACATTGTTAAAGGATGCACGCGCGGGCATCGCGACTTCCGGCTCATCGGGCGTCGTACTATAGTCACTGCGACCGGCAGCGCATTTTTCGCGCGCGCGCGACTGACTCAACGAAAGCGCAAAGTTCATTATGCATGTGAGGCATCTATATATAATGTGTATTCGTTTTCATCGCGTGTCACAAAGAGCAACAGCATTGTGTAAATAGTTATGTGGTAATCCGTGTGTACGTATATACAACTTGAAAAAGTAAACTTTTCAGAGTGAAAAGATGCATTTTTCATGTTTTTTAACTCGAGTGCACACGAGCGTGCGTATATATAGGTAAAACACTCGCGCGAAAACGAGTGCCCTGACACACATGCGTTCCTTATAACGCTCTTTATCTCTCGCGCGTTGCGTTACCATACATTACATTATTATTTACTATTTACGATGTATTATAAGCGAGCGTACAACTCGCGTAAATATATAGCGCCAGCGGCGAGTCTAGTTAAAGTTTTTCGGTTCAGCGCGGCCAAAACGCGCGCGCAATACGCCTAAATAAGTACATTATACGTATATATGTACGTGTGTGCCTCTCTCGCGATTACTCATGCGCGAAAACTTTCTTCTCGCTCGCAACGAGTGTACTACTGCTACACGCATAATAATACACGCGCGGCGGCGGCGATTCGCTCCTCCTCGTATACATCGTGCACGAGGCAGCAGCAGCTCTCTCGGCGCGTAATGGGCTTCGAGCCAGTTGAACACCCTCGCTTTCTATATAACGCGTTGCACTGAATACTGTACTGTACGTATGCTTATTGTACGCTACATGCGAACGGCTGCGCTTCGCTGTCTCTCTTTTTTACTTTTTTTTCGTTTCCAAGTCGGCTTGGCCGCGAGCGAACACACAGCCGGTCGGCGGCAATTGTGTATGTGTTATATGTAAACAGCAGCAGCAGCAGCAGCAGCAGCAGTACAGTGAGCCACCCGCAAATGTTTGTCTGCCACACAGCTCTCTCTCTCTCTCTTTCTCGCTCTGTGCTGCGTGTGTAATTCTTCAAAGCCGAAAGTTCATTTGGTCTCACGAGTTTACGCTGCTGCACTGCCTCGTGCTTTATATTATTGTGACGTAACCGCTGATGCTTACAACTGACTGATTTATGATTTGCAAAAGGGAGCGAGACAGATCCCGCCGCGGAGTAGACAAAGGAAGCCACGCACTTCGTTGCTCCGCACGCGTCAAACAATTAATTTTTCCCGCCTGCGTTGTTGTTACGTCGAGAGTCTCGGATTAGAATTAGTATTATAAGCAGCAAAAAAATCTCGCTTTCAATTTGTGAGAAGTGTACTCACACTTTTCGAGTATCTATGAGAACGCGTACGAACAAAAAAAAAAAAAAAATAGAGGATGGCATTGATCGAGGCCACCGTTGATTCGAGTGTACGGCGGCAACAACAATGCTCTTTGTCGTCGCGCGTTTGAAAACTAATAGATCGTGCGCGAGCGTTGATGTTTTCTTCCGTGACTTATCTTCAAACTTGTACAAAATTTTTACGCGCAAAAAAAATCCAACGACGACGTGAGAAGGATTATGAACGCGGTAATTTTGCAACACTTCGAGGCTTAGAGTTTATGTAAAACGCCGTACTCGGATATGTTTCACTTAAATTGCAACGTTGCAAGATTCGTATGTATGCATTACAAAGGGTGTGAAAACAATTTTTCACGTCCTGGACGTTTAAATATTCATGAACTTTTTTTTTCACGATATTTATGAAAGTGGGAAAAAATTAGATTTAGTTCACGTGATTCGTTTCGCGATTAACGTACACGTTTTTTTTTTACGCTGACGTATACATGTAATTGTCTATTCATATAATAAAACAAAACAAAGAGAGTACATGTGAATATTTAAATTTTTAATTAATCACTATTTATCTGTCCATGAAATCTTTAAAAAGTTACATCCTTGTACTCATACATAGACAGCAACAATTATAGAGCGAGAGAGAGAGAGAAAAACATGGGATGATGCCGCAGAGATAAGCCGGGCAAATCGGCATGCTTCACCCAATTTATCTCTTTTCTCTCGTTTCCGACTTTTAATTAGATTAACTGCAAATTCGCGCCTGTTTCTTCTCTTTTTCGTCGTTAGAATAATTATTATCTCACGTACTTTCACTGAGTGCTTTTATAAGGAAGTGGCACGAAACCCGGCAGGCATCGCAGCTCCAAAATAGTCTTTGTATATAATTTTGATGAAATTTAACTCTCGTGTACCATGTGTCGAGAATCGTTGCATCAAAATAGCGTAAAACAAAAATTCAAGCTTCGATCATTGTCAGTGATATCTTTTTTGTTTTGAAAAAAATTGTTCATCTTTCAGCCAAAGCTCAACGAACCAATGATTCGTATCAATTGCGTTAAATCGGAGTAAAAAAACTTTCACTCCACTGCGTTACGCACGTTCGAGGCATTGTTTGCGTTCCCAAGATTAAGTATCCCAATACACGGCTCCTTTATCGGAACGACCGAGTAAATTAATTATTGTTTACCAACCGGTGGAGCAAACTTTCTTATTTTCCCATTAGCCTGGTAATTTCTGTGAAATTAGTGCACACTTGATTTTCAGGATTTTCCATTTAGAAACTCCAACGAGTCGCGCGCGCACATGCATCCTTCGTTGGCTACATTTTTTTTTTTTTTTGCTTTACATACTACGTACAACATAATTTTCTTCGGAGAGCGAGCAGAGAGAAAGAAGAGAGAAAGACGCGTTTATCGTGACGGATCGTCATTAAGTCGTAACGAGTGTGCCAAAAACGTCACTGCGCGGCGGCGCGCACACAGTCGCATAATGCGAAAATTACGTGTATATGACAAACGATGCAAGACACACGATGATGCTCCCCGTTCGTGAGAAATTTTTTTTTGTTCATCCGCACTTACCGCACTTCTAGAAAAATATGTAGATAATCTCCGAGGATTTATTTGTATTGCGGATAGGATCTTTCTCTCTCTCTCTCTCTTTGTGCCTCTGGCAATTAACTCGTCGAGCGCGCGATATAATAAACAATAGTTGTAATTTTTCTTTTTTTGCGCGCAAGCGTTCATGTAGAATAATAACACGGTAAACGCAGAACACGATCCTTTTTCAGCGCTTCGTTTACAAATTGTCAAGATCGGGGGTAGAGTTTTGCCGAGGTAAAACACACATACACACACACATCCGTCAGAGCGCGAGCAACAACGATTCTCGCACGCGCGCAAATAGTGAAACGCAAATTCCATTGTTGCTTGCGTATTACATATATAAATGCGAGAGATACTCGGTGGCTTCAAGAGAAGAACGAAGTAAGCAGAAGCGAGCATTCGATTTCCCATATATAGCTTAAAGCAGCGGACGGACGCACTCGTCTGCGAAGCGCGTGTGAAAATAAAGCTTTTCCATATGCATATATACTCCAGGTAGGTATGTATAAGGATAGGATGTATCCTACCTGACATAGGCCGCGCGCGAGCTAGCTCGCTTTGGACGCGTATATACATATAAAAGACGGATGAATAGCATAAACGCGCCCCCGTGGAAAACACTACTGCCGCGCGAGACTGACTCGGTAAAACGCACGGTGTACGTTATATGTGTGTGTGTAGCCTGCAGTGCACTTGTGCAGTGAAGGAAATCCGGTGAATTTTAACTTGCCGTTTATGCAAACTATAACGCGGCTGTATATATTATTATTATTATCCATATGCTTCGCGCGAACTTTGGAATAAAGTTGAAGTCGAGGCGAGAAGCA